TTATATCTATGAACGTTTGAGTTGAGAAAACAAGGCACTACTGAGTGTTTTGATTTGTAAAAGTTGAGTCAGGGGTCAAATTTGTGTCAAGATTAGATTGGTTGTTACAGGTGTGGTGATTTTAGGGTTTACATCAATATCTTTGTTATATTTGGGCAAGAAAATCTTGATAACCCTTTTCTAACAAATTAAAAGTTTTTGGAGATGATATTATCATTGATGATAGTTGTTGATATTGTTAAATATTTATTCACTAGCATAATTACATTTTTTCACCTTGCAACAATATATAGTGATAAAATGATTATATAACCAATCTACACTTAAGTTTTTGTTGAATACATATAATTACAATATTTCTATGTTTGTTTGATATATTTGGCTGGCGTCTACATGATGTTCCATTTGTCAAAACTAACAAAAATGTTGTTTGATGTATTTTTAAGGGATTTTGTGAAATCCCCAAAGATTAATGAATGTGACGTGCTATTGTGGAACAAATTCTAAGCATATTCATTCAAAATTTTGACTAATAATTTTACTTGTGATGAAGAAAGAATATGACCTCTAATCAAATGAAATTCTAACAAGCTTATTTTGAATGAACAACATACTTGTAATGAGGTCATGTGATTATTTAGCTTCTTGTTGAGATAAAACATATAATAGAGACTAAATGTTTTAACATTTTTGTTTTTTGGCTTGGAAATGATGCAGTCAGTTCCACAACTCTCTTCTTTTCATATTTTCTTTGAGGTGGTGTAGTGCTCTTTGAAAGTTTTTGTTTGATTGTATGACAACATTTAGCCAATGTTTAGGTTGATGACATCATAAACAAATATCAAATATATTCTCTCTTGTGTGCTCTATCGAACTTTTCAGTCTTTCATATAATCATATTGATGCTGCTCCCACTGCTATTGGGTTTAGGTTTCTTTCAATGTGAATTCTCAAACTAAGTAGTTTGCACATTTCTTGACCTTTCATTACTCTTTCATTTTTGGAATTCAATATGTATTTGGGTAGCTTATAAATTTATCTGAAAATGTTTAGCTCTTTCCACAAAAAATGAATAATAATCAATTACCAAAGGTATTTAAGGTTTCAGACTGCATCCTTTAATCTTGAGAAGAATTAATGGCAATTTTGTTTTTCATTGGGAATCTTATGTAGTTTATATCTCAAAAATCTAGTTAAAGTAAGCTTCATATTACATAAAGGAATAATCTTTTTGCACCCTATTAGGTCAACTATCAAACTTGTATTGTATTTTTTCTTGTCGCCTTTTTTTTTTTTGGCTTCACCAAAAGAAAATAAATATTGAGTGTCATATTTCTTTTGTGAGGGCAAAATACAATGGCAATAATTTTTTCAACTTGTAATAACTAATTATTGGCCTAAAAAGATTTGGTTAGAAAATATTAGAAATAAAATTTCTTTATTAGATTTAAATGAGAATTTGACTCTTAACAGGACACAAAGGATAAAAAGGATTCATGTGGCTGACCCCACGCAGTGGGATAAAGGCTTGATGTTGTTGTTATTGCTACAATAACCAATTATTGGCTTTGTTTGGTCCTCCACCTCTAGAAAAGAGAAGCGACTTTATATCTTGAAATAACTTTATATTCTTATCCATTTGTGTGCTTCCACTTCCATTGTCTTTAGACTGAAAACTTTGAATTAGTTGTGTAAAAGCTTTCATGGCATGTCTCGTACTAATGGAGTGAGTGTTAGTACTTATTGCTTCCCTGTAAGTGGCGGTTCGTTAATTCTAGCTTCTCTTTTATAACCATCAATATTTTCTTAATCAACGTCCGTAGAATCAAGACATATAAGGCAAGATTACTTAATTAGAGTTAACATAATATTTAACTAGTTTTACAAAACAAAAATTGATTATTGATTATCATAGTGGCCTTTTTCTTGTATTGATTATCCTCTAGTTTAACTTAACCTTGCTCTGATACAACTCTTGTCACAATCCAGCTCGAAAACTTGGACTGTCGAGGTAGGAACAACAATCGAATGAAAATTTAAACATTCTCACATCACTTTCAAAGTAAAAATTGTCCAAATAGAAAAATGCCAACTAAGCAATAAACTTTTTTTTTTAATATAAAAATTGTCTAGTACACTTCTCTTTCCTCTTTAATTACAGAATATACAAATTTTCTCAAAAAAAAAAAAATAACGCGCATAATTGTTATACAAATTTTCACACTAATTTTTGAGGTTATTCTTTTGCTATACACGAATCCTCTCTTTTCATTCATTTAAGTTAAATGGGATATTCTTGAAAATAGTTATCAATTAAAGGATGATTAAAACAACTTAATGACTAATTATATTTATAAATTATAGTAATTCAAGAATTTAAAAACATTATGTATGCATGTCTTTATAAGCAAATAAGGAGTTAAAGCTTATGAAGAATAAGAGAATGCAGTTGTTACATTGGCATAATAAGGAACTGTTAGCTTTCTTTATCGTTTTTATATAGTAACTTATCTTTTCTTATAATACACTCTTTTCTTATAATTACTATAAAGTAGAAATATAATTACCCACTTTTACTTGGAGAATTGGTTTGCCATTTGAATGTTGTTTCTCTCAACGAGGCCTAAATAAAAAATATCACTAAATGATGTTAAATATCTTTTTTTTTTTTTTAATATGAATACATCAAACTCTCTCACATGATTTCATCTTACTTACATAACACATAATTAATTATGTTGGTTAAAATTCATTCTCATTGGTTTGCTTTATTGTCTTTTATCAATTAATATAGTTTATAATTATTAATTTTAACCTTATAATTAATTGCTAATACAATCTCTAATCTAATTTTTCTTATAATTAAACTATTGATTTTCAATCTTCTTTGAATTATAGTTTAACAAAAATTTAAAAATTTACCCTTATTATTCATATATATGCAACAACAACAACAAAATCAAGCCTTTGTCCCACTACATGGGATCGGCTAAATGAATCCTTTTTCTCCATTATGTCCGGTTAAAAGTCAAATCCTCATTTAAATCTAATAAAGAAAGATCATTTCTAATATTTTCTAACCAAGTCTTTTTAGGTCTATCTCTACCTTTCTTAACATAAGTCAAATCTAATACCTCAACTTTTCAAACCGGGTCAACAGAAGGCCTCCGTTTAATGTGACCAAACCATCTAAGGCAACTCTCTCTAAGCTTATCTTCCACTGGAGCTACTCCATCCTTTTCACGTATATGCTCATTTCGTATCCTATCTCTAAGGGTCAAGCCACTCATCCACCTAAGCATCCTCATCTCTGCAACACTTATCTTAATATTATGCTTCTCCTTTAATGGCCAACATTCAACACCATAAAGCATTGCAGGTCTCATAATATTATTCATATATATATATATATATATTTCATTTATCATAATCCTTGCTCTATAATTTTTTTAGTTTAATTTAAATTAATTATTTATATATCATTTTATTTAAAATTATAATTTCTTACTTAGTCATGGATCATGAAAGTAAATTAAGTATTCCTATAATTTTTCTTGTTATGCAATTAATTTTCAAAACTTTTTCAAAACTTTTGAATTTATTAAAACGTGTCCATTAAATCTGTAAATTAGGAACAACATAAAATTGTTGAACTTTCAACTTTCTACGAAAGTTTTCCTACTATTACCAAAAAAATATTTATATAAAAGTTTACCTCTTTTTTTTTTTCTTTTTCTTTTTCTTCTTTCTTGCTGTCTCCTTCCTTCTGGTTGTCTTCTTCTTCGTATAGAAACCCGAGGAAGTTGTAGGATGATCCCTAAGCCAAAGAAGTTAGATTTAGGTTTCGTTTGGGACCGCTTTTTTACTACTTAAATCAGTTTTTTAATACAAAAATTTAATTTTTTTACTAGAAAGTTGCTTTAAGTTGTAAAAAAGCCATCCCAAATAAAGCCTTAGAAAACATATTTTGATAACGGGAACTTATTTAGATTTAGAACTGTGATTGTCAATGACCTCATGCATGTGATATGCCAGTTTGGTAACTAAGGATTTGATAGGAGAGTTTGATGATTCTGTGAATGTAATATTGAGGTTTCTGTGACTTGTTGCTTGTAGTTGCCACTAACTCAGTCAGTGATGTAATATGAAGTTAATCCAGGACTTGCATTTAGAATTTAACAAAAGATTATCCAAGTATGTTAATTTGCAAATTAAAGATTGTTCCCAATTTAAGCTCTCGAAAATCATAAAAGAAAAGAACTAAGCATCATAGGTAAAGACTCTGAATCAGGGCCGTCGATCGTCGTCCCCGGCGATGGTACACATGGCGAAATCTGATGCCCTCATCAGTCAGGCTCTATTCTTCATATTTTTAATGGATGCCAACATCTACCTTATGTGATACGAATGTCCACTAACCACTAACCCTGCTAGTTACTGTCATTGATTATTATCACACTCTCACAAATTGTTTGCTCAATTTCTCACATTCTAAGTTCCAAAAAAGATTTTCTTTTCATTTATTCTTGTGAACCTGTGGGTCACCTACTTAAAAAAATGAGAGTTACCAACCTCACCAGTTGTGCTCAAAATTCATTTGGAATTGATGATTTTCATTGACTAAGTACATCTTTAAACTACATTTTGATATTTAAGTAAGGCTATTTTATAGTATTGTTAGGTTTTTTCAAGATTTTCTACATATGTGCAGTTGTTAGAATTGCTAGGGACAATAAAGAAACAATTCTGCTACAATAACATTTGGTTAGTGTTCAAAACATGACTCCATATAAACCTTTGATAAATCTTTTTTTTTTTCCCTAATCACAGTGCATTTGGTGGGATGAAAAAACTTAAAATTACATGCGGAATGTGTTCAATTATTTGGCTAGATTCCTACAAACTTCATTAATTAGTGTATATTTGACTGTCTATTTCTATACTTGATATGCCCTTCTTTTATCAACGCCATCTTTGGGTTCTTTTTGATTCTTTTGCAGTATTTGGATGAAAACAAGCAGTTAATTCTGGCAATTCTTGACAACCAAAATTCTGGAAAAACAGATGAATGTGCTGAGTAAGTATCAAACCTTCTGATGTTGTTAACTTTGAGCTCTTTTTCCATTTTTGCTTGATTTCCTGTTGATCAAAACTACCTAAAGTTGTCATTTCAGAGATCTTTGATGTCAGAATTAAGAAATTTCTGCAAATATGACAGCGGAAATTGCAGGAATTTATGCAGAAGTTAGATAATTTCGGTCTTTATCTTGCTGGTTTTTACTAAAATGATTACCTATTGCCTAAAACCTAAAACCTAGAACCCCATGACAAAGAACTATCATAAATGGAAGTGAAGGAAACAACAAGGAATTGACAGAACATGGAAGGATAATTAGATTTTCTTCGAATGTATTGGGCATCTCCTTGACATAATAGGAAAATATCATGAAGCAGAATTGGGGATTGTGAGCAAGAGGAGCGGGGAAGGGATACTGCCTGAAGACTTAAGAGAGTGGAGGAGAATCGATGCCTACCGCAATCGAAGATAATTCCGCAGATTAAGCTTGGAAGTTGGAGATGGTCATGCCAAGCTTATATCTGAGGAAGCACAAAGCAACTTTGAATGCACACCTGAGTACAGAGACAATCGGCTGGCTAAAGACTCCATTGGATGTTATACTCTTGTTGCATGATTTCATTCGTCAATAGCTTAAAGTATTACATTACATGGAAATCCCCACAAGCATAAAGACTATATTCCTCAGAATAATAAGCAAGCATAAGTCAACAATAATTACAAACCAAACAACCATTACTCTTATAACACATAAGATTATGATTTTAAGATGATTTTGGCGTCGTTTGGGACGGCTTTCTTATTGCTTCTTAAAACAGCTTTCTAATAATTTTTTTTTTAATTTTTGTACTAAAAAGATGCTTTAAGAAGTAGTAAAGAAACCGTCCCAAACGAAGCCTTTATTAAACATTAATTTGCTTACTTGACAAAATAATGCAACATAATACAACATTATGTAATATTTCATAGAACAAAAGAAGGAAGCAATTCCAAGTAAAGCCATAGTGTAGCATACATTTTTTGAGGCATGGGGTGAGATATTGCAACAGTATGTGATGCATAGTTTCCTATGCCTCTACTTTCCATTGCCCATCCGAGTGATTTTCCTTATTTTGCTCTGTTTCCCGTTATTTTCACCTTTTCCTATCATTGTTTATGGTTATTGTTTCCTCCTTTGGCTTCTGTATCATGCTATGTTGTTTTCACTACAGTGCCACCTTGCTTTCCTGCTTCTTTGCTTGCCTCCAATCCTGCAAGTGCTACTTACTGTCCAGGAAATCTATGAAATAATTGCTACTATGCCGTTTTCTTGTTTTCCCTGTTATTGTTGAGATTCTTGGGGAGGAAAGAAGCTTTCTTCTTCTTCTTGGAAGAGAGGAGGATAGAGAGAGGGAAGGGAAGAGGAGGGAGAGCAGCTGAAATCAGATACTTTATTGCTTAACCATTCATCTAATTACAACCTATAGAGTTTATTTAAAGACACAAAAAGCTACACCAATGGCAATACAATCCATACAAGAAACTAAAGAAAAGAACACCAAAAACTAACGTAAAAATACAAAAAAACAGACTTAAGTTGTATATTCTTATTCCATGTGTTACTGCCTCTAGTTTCCTTTTTGGGGGATATGTTCATGTGGAAATACATAAAGCTAAACTTGATCCGTATCATTTATTGTTGTATTTTACTACATCTATGGATTATAAGAAATTTCTTATTTTGAGTCTTTAGTGAACTACAAATAAAATTTTGAGGCATGTGAAAGGTATTTGACATCAAACATTTTAATTTTACTTTAATCTTGTCGACGGTTGTAGAGTGCATATTCTTTGATTCCTTCATATGTGTGCAACTATTTAAGACGACGAATGTACTAATGTGAGACTCCTATTCATTTATTTTGTTTCTTACTCCTTTTCACAGCAATCTGCACTTCAATATGTCCAAATTTCAGAATATCTCAATAAAAGAACTATGCCAATACTCAAATCTTCCATAAATTGTAGATTTATATGTTTAACTACATCTTGGTTAATCTTGTTGCAGAAACCAGGCTAAACTTCAGCGCAATCTAATGTACCTGGCTGCCATTGCTGATAGCCAACCCCAAATGACCACCATGGCCCAGGTGAAAATCAGTCTGAACATTTATATCAATTCTAGTTTCTTGTTTTTTCCTAATTGAATCATGTCAGGAATATAAATCTGTAGGTGATGTTGATGATGATAGCATGAAGTGACTTACTTTTTATTTCGTCCTTGAAATTGGCAAATTTTGGTGATCTTTTACATAAAAACATAATATAACCTATTGATTTTCCTTAAGCTGGGAAAACCTTTACACTAAAAGTATCAAATAGTAATGACATTAATATATATAACTATTATAGTAAAAAATATTTAATGTTTTGGTTTCTCTTTGATTCATTCTCTTTAGCAAATTCCTTTAAGCTAACAAGGTGCTAAACACTTTTTTAAAAAAAATGTATAATACCACGACAAGGTTCTTCGAGAAATTATTACGTGCGGAATCCGAACGTGGAGTTGCGTTCAGACTCTGCGTATTTACTGAGTATTTGTTAAGTGTTTTTATTGAGTCAATACTCATTAAACACGCAATAAATACTCAACAAATATGCAGTAATATAAAAAAAAACTATATTTCGACCGCATGTGAACATTTCATTGGAGTCTGGACATAGATCTATGCCCCGTTTCCACACAATAATTTCTCGCAAGGTTCAGTGGCGGGCCTAAGTTTTTTTCTTAATAGGATACATAAATTAATATTATTATTTGAGTGGGTGCAGCCAAGTTGTTCAAAATTTTCCCTTGGCAAGGATCAAGTATTGTTAATTTTTTGGTCACATTAAAATTGACCTTGGCTAGTATCAAGCATCCTTAATGGTTTCCTATGATAACATCTTAAGCAGTATCCTTCCAATGCGGTCATGCAATCAGACGCGCGATACATGCAACATCAGCAAGCTCCTCAAATGACTCCACAATCTCTCTTAGCCGCCCGGTCCTCAATGCTATACCCTCAGTCGCCAATGTCTGCATTGCAGCAACAGCAGCAGCTTGCACTCCACAGCCAGCTGAGCATGAGCTCTGGCACGTCCGCAGGCTTCAATGTGTTTCACGGCGACACCAATATGGGCGGCAACGGGACGCTCGGATCTGGAGTGTTCCCCGACTTTGGGCGTAGCGGCGGTGGAGCTTTGAAGCAGGGAATGGCAAGCGAAGGACGAACGGGCAACTCAGGAGGGCAGAATGGTGATGGAACTGAACCTTTGTACCTGAAAGGTTCAGAAGCAGAAGGTAACTGATATCTTTTGGGTTGAAATTGGTTGTTGTAATATGAATAGCTCTGTAGCAGGTGGTTTCCCAAACCTGGTAGCTGGTAATCTGATTTGGGTGGTTCGGGTTTTGTGACTCATTTTGTGGAACTATGATGAACTGTTGGACTTGTGAGTCAAGTAGGTTGGGAAGAATGCTTTTTTTTTTTTCTTGTTCTGTTAATGTGTTGCTCACCAGTCATATCCTCTCATCTGCTATGCCTTGAATGTTTAATTGCTAATTTAGTTAGATGCTGTTCTTTCTTGTACAGAAGCAAAGCTATGCATGGCTGATTTTATTATCATTTTCATATGGTGATATGTATTTACATGGAGCTGGATTTGATTCTTGCTGTGATTGGTTTATGTTGTGTATGGAATTGGAGTGACTATTACGTGCAGAGTTTGGATTCAAATTGTCCGGTTTTTGTGAATGTATACATTAAAAGCACAATAAAAGCGCAATGGTGAACAGTAACTGCGTTTTTACTGCACACCCTCTAAAAAATTGGACGGTTTTCCTATCTGGACTATGTACGTAATAATCCCCTGGAATTGACCTATGCCTGGGCTTTGGATAAATTATTGCGCGCGGAGTTTGGATTGAAGAATTATTCGGATTTGTTGAGTATTTATTGAGTATGCACAAATATTCAACAAATTCGGATGGTTCGCCTATCCGGAGTAATAATTTCTTTGACCTTTGGCACTTGTTCGACTTGATTGACCCGACTTGAAAAAAAATAATGATTTAAGCAAATGTTTTCAACATGATACATGAAGCTGAACCTATTTGACACGACCTTAATGCATTCTTTAGATGGGTGGGCAAGAACATTCCTCCCAAAAAATTTAGGTTCCATTTGGTTTTTTTTGGAAATGATCCAATCAGACAGATTAATAGATTTCATAGAATTGACTCAGGCATGTATATTGCTAATCTAATGCATCATTTATGATAAATTTTTGTCAATAAATGTGATTTATCAGTTTGTTTGTTGGGGTTTATTTATCTTCTCTTAATTTTCTATAGTTCTATCCCAAATATTTTCCAAACTAAAGGCATCTCCTTGCACTGTTTACGTCGTGAGAATGATGCGGGGTTTTTTGAGTTTTTGTGAAGTAGATTGTGAACATTTCACATTGATTTAGCATTCGGTTGTAGATGTCCTAATAATATTGTTCTTTAGTGTACTTGCATCACACACTTTTTTTTTTTTGGGGACATTTAGGCCATTTAAGGCAAACTCACACACACACCGCATACACAGAGACTCGAACCCTGGACCTCTTAGTTGGAAGCCTAAGCTCTCAACCAATAGGCCAAGGAGAGTTGTGTCACTCATCTTTTCGTAAACTATTAGTGGTCTCTCTCTCTCTCTCTCTCGAACTAAATAGGCCAAATTATAAAAAGGAGCATATTTTATATGAAATTAAGCGGTAGAAGTGCGTTATCAAATAAATTTAGAAGGAGCGAATATAAAGTTTCAAGTAGCATATACAGAACCGGAAAATGTTAATCTAGTTTCATAGAAATCACATAATTAAATTCGATTTCTATAGAAACCAAAATTTCATTATTCGATTTCTTAAGAAACTGAATTTTCCTAATCCGTTTTTTATGCAAACCAGATTTCTTCTCTCCATTTTTGCTCATTTTTAAATTTATTTTTAAACATGATTTTTATGCGTATTTTTGTATAAAATGTTATACTTTTTATAATTTGGCCTTTTAAATATTGAAAATAAATGAATGAATAAATAAATAAATAAAATCTAAATTTTATAAAATTATCAACAATTTAATTGTGAATTTATTAGTTTAAAAATATTATAAATGATAATTTAAAAATATTTAAAATTTGACTGGTACATGCCATAAATAAAACCATTTTTACTCACCCCACGTCGGATCTTCGCCTCACACGACGGCCAGCTACTTCACGCCGGAATCCGAACAGCCCCTCTCCACCGCCCTATCCTTCCTTCTCTCTTTTTTTAAAGGAACCGCCGCCGCCCTCACCGACGCTTCCGCCCTCGCCGACGTTGTTCTCCCGTTCGCACAACTGCCGTAGATCCTGCCAACGACTCTTCCTCCTCTCAGATCTACAAGCGACGCTTCCAACGTCGTCGATCTTAGCCCTAATTCCTCTCCATATTCATCGCTCTTCCACTCGACGCCAACCCAGCAACCACAAGCCGAACTCACAATTTCGCGTTGAACTGAAGTACACCAAAATAAAAATTTAAAAGAACAACAAAACAAAAATGAAAGAGTGAAGCACGACATGTACTACTTTAAATGAGTAAAAATTGAACAGTCTTAGGGCCTCCTTGAGAAGGCTGCAAAATTTTATAAAGTTGATTTTAAATGTAGAGAAAGTAACTTCTCTATTTAAGTTGTGGAAAACAATTTTATACCGTATAAATTTTTGAAAAGAAATTACCAATAAAAATTATGTCAGATCGGTCCACTGGACCAGTCCAGTTAGGGGTGTCAATATTGGACACGAGTCAAAAATCCGACTCTAACCCGACACAAATTTCAAGTTCGGGTTGACCCGAACCCAAAATTTTTCGTATCGGATTCGGGTCCTAATTTTCGATCCGTTTTGAATTTCGGGTTGGGTTCAGGATGACACGGCAAACCGAGAATGACCCGGATCAACATATTCACAGCGAGCGAACTCCCATTGTTGCTTTGCTTCTGATCAAAATGTTAGCTTCCAATCCGACCAGAAGGGAACATCATCCAAGAAGCGAAGTTGAACAACAACGAAGGAGCCAGTGAGGCGGAAAGTTCTTCACAGCGACCGAAATCCCGTCATTGCTTTCGATCAAAATGTTGTAACCTTTGATCCGACTGGAAGAGAATGTTGTCCAAGGAGCGAAGTCGAAAAGCAACGATGGAGCCGGTGATGCGGAAAGTTCTTCACAGCTAGCGAAATCGCATCGTTGCTTCCGATCAAAATGTTGTAACTTCCGATTCGACGGGAAGAGAACATCGTCTAAGCCTCCAAGGCATGAAGTCGAACAACGATGAAGGCGCCAGCGAGGTAGCAAGGTTGCGAGCGAACTCCATTCGTTGCTTTTGTGCTTCCGATCAAAATGTTGTAACTTCTGATCCAACGGTAAGAGAACGTTGTCCAATGAGCGAAGTCGAATATCAACGAAGGCGCCGGCGAGGCAGCGAGTAAACTCGAGTTGTTGTTTCCATGCTTTTGATCAAAATGTTGTAACTTCCTATCCGACCCCAACAAGTCATAGGAAGAGAACGCCGTCCAAGGAACCGGGAGCGAACAACGAAGGGGACTCACTTGGCGGGTTGGGTTCGAGTCTGAAAAATCGAACCGTTTATAAAAACGGGTTGGGTTCGAGTTGACCCGAATAGTTTCGGGTCAGTTCCGGGTTCGACCCGTGACCCGAAATTGACACCCCTAAGTCCAAACGGTCCATAAACTAACTTACGAACGAAACAGGCAGAAGTTCCACCTCCTGTACTTGCCGAACGCACGTCCGGGCCTGCGTGAGCTGTTTAGGAAGGATTTTTGAGGGAGTTAGGAGGGAAGTCTGAATGTAGGGACAGTTTAGGAATTTCCTTTTGATTTGTATGCATTAAATAGTTTGTTTTTCTAGGGCTAGAACATCTTGAATTTGGATGAAATTTGAGATCTCTTATGTTTAGATTTTTGAGCTCTAACAACGTATAAAGATTTGAGAGAAATTGACCCTCCTCTCGAATTGATGATCAATTGTATCTTGCCATTTTCCATTTCTATTTCATCAAATAATACAAATTATCTACTACTTTCTTGATTTTGTGTGAATTTTTGAGGAGAATTCTTGCTGTTTTTCGAAGATTGATAGGAAATACTTGAGATATACAAGTGTTTCCTATCAAATTATGATTGTTGTCCGAAAAAAGAAACAACAAAAAAAACAATCGCAAACAAGAGAATTTATTATGTGCGAAGTCCAAACGTAGCTTGCTTCTGGCTGCAATCAAAATTGGCTACATCATTTGCACACAATCTGTGTACAACCATGTACACCGGGTGTGTACGATGTGACCAATTTTGATTGGAATCCAGACACATATGAACTCTGCAAAGAATAATTTCTTCACAAACACACCCTTAAAGAAAACCTAAAAAAAGACTTAAAAACTCACTCATGAGCAATAAACATAACTTTCTTACTCCAAAATAAGTAAAATTCTCAAAACTTTGGAGTGGATAATAACCCGAATGAGACGAATAAATAAAAGGTTGACATTTATTTACAACAAAAAGGGAAAGAATTGATTTCCCCTTATGAAATCCATTTATTGAAATGCAAATAGCACACTATTCACACCATTCACACTTATGAAAGAAATAATTTTCCCTAAATAAATAGGGGGATTTACATACATACTACTATATATCACTCTATTTATATATCTAACATCTAAAATTTTAATATTACATACATACCACCGATAGTTCACTTTCATATCAAATATGAGTGGTCTGTATCTAAACCCCCCATTAAAAAAAAAATGCAATATTGCATATATCTTAGCAATAAATATTCATACGAATAATAAAATTAGGATATTCTCAAGTCATGAGCACTTATCAAATATGAGTGGTATGTATGTAAATCCCCCATAAATATGAGTGGTATTTATGTAAATCCCCCATCATCCACTATAAGCTAATATTTAACAACAAATATGCTCATATATTAAGAAATAAAAAAAAAAAATACTAAAAGTATTAAATATGTAGTAAATCTTATAATCGGGATGATTTGAGAAGCAAATTTATGAAGTCCTGCAATGCAAAGTAACATAGCAGAAATAGTTGATGAATTCTGTAGCCATATAAGATGAAATGAAAACCTTTCCATCCAGTTGCTCGGACTGTAAATATACTGAACAAGATTAGAACTCGATTTGAAAACATGAGATTAATCTTCACAGCTTCTGGGACAACTGAGGATACATGAGAAATTTCAATTTAGGCTTCGTTTGTGACAGATTTTTACTGTTTTCTAAAACAGCTTTTCAGTATAAAAAATTCTAGTTTAAAAAAAAATTAATAAAAAATTACTTTAAAAAGTAGTAAGAAAGCTGTCCCCAATGAAGCATTAATTACCAATAAAAAATATTGAAGTTACAAACATACTTAGTGCGGCCCCGAAAAACCAAAACTGAAACTTGCTGAAGGCAATGCACATATACAAAATTAGGTGAATTGATGATACTTACTACTGGCAATAGTCAACAACATCAAGCCTTTGTACCACTATGTGGGGTCAGCTACATGAATCCTTATTTTCCATTGTCATGTTAAAAGTCAAATTCTTGTTTAAATCTAATAAAGAGTTCGGTGTAAGGACGTAGAGGAACGTCCGGTTGGAGGCAAAATCCCGCCAAAAAACTCGGTATTTGCTTGGTACAACTAGGTATTATTTGATATTAACGAAGAATACTGCTCTTTGAAGACCAATACCGAATTATACCGAGCTGTACCGAGAAATACCGAGCTGTACCGAGTTTCTCTAAGAAAAACTCGGTACAACTTTTGTATAACTCGGTATTTCTCGGTTTAGCTCGGTATAACTCGGTATTGGGTCTTCAAATGATGGTATTCCTCTTTATTGTTTGGTATTGCTAGGTATTTGCTCGGTACAACTCGTTTTTTGGCGGGATTTTTCTCTACAACACTTAACTTAGTATTATGCTTCTCTTTTAATGGCCAACATTCGACACCATAAAGCATTGCAGGTCTCACCACCATCTTACCACTGGCAATCGTCAAACGTTAGTAATTCTTGCTTCTTGGAGAAGCGAGAAAGCATACCTAAATAGCAGATTACACCAAGCAAATAAAAAAAAAAAGACTCCGTAAATTAGGTGAAATTATTTTGTGTGGATGTCGAACGCCGTCCAGAGACCAACTAGAATGCGCCACATCATCCCCTACTCGGTACCCAACTCGATATTGCTCGGTACCCAGCTTAGTTACCGCTGATGTGGTGCATTTTGATTGGACTTCGGACGGTGAACTGCGTTCGGCGTCCGCACAAAATAATCTCTCGTAAATTAGAGGTTGTCAGCACAATTTTTGCTTTTTTACAGCATAGAAGAGAATAAAAACATGGCATGTAACAAATAGAACGGAGAAATGTACTAGTCATCGAGAGTAGAAGCCCAATTTAATAGCAGATTATCTGGAAATCAGTTGAATTTGCTTATGTGGTTCTGAGAAAATGTGAATCCAGTTTTCTTTCGGATCATGCAACATAATCTGTTACTAATAGAATTTAGAAACTAAGTACATATAGCATACTCAACCTTGTGTAAGAAAGGTGGTCTCACAAATTAGTTCACCCCAGTGAAAACAATAGCCAGGTTACAGCACTTTAAGGTCAGAAATGTTACATGCCTTAATAGCTATTCAGCAACATAAGCCGTTCACAAAACAGCAATTGAACTTCAGCACTCAGACTAGCTAGCCAAACTTTGACGTTATCCTACTAGCATTAGGTTTCCTTTCTTTGGGTTCATTGAGCTCCTCAGAAATTAACTAAAGAAATTACACCTTAGAACAGAGCAGCATCGCCTGCACTACTTCTTTAGAAAGGTTAAATGATTAATAAGCATAGAAGTTAGCTCCCAATATTAAACCATTAACACTTTTATTTAAAAAGGAAGAATAATTAATTAGCATACCCGTTACATGTGGTTTTAAGCTCTGTGGAGGATGAATGCTTATGCCAATTTCTATTCCTTTGGGTCATAAACCAGTTATTTATCTCCTTCAAATGCAACCCAGTTTCCTTGACCAATTTCGCCTTGTCCTCCTCCTAAATGACAATATGTATGTCAAACATGCAAAAACAAAATAATAGCCATCCAAGTAAATGAGGAAACCACAAAAAAAAAAAAAAAAAAAAAAAAAAAAAAAAAAAAAAAAAAAAAAAAAAAAAAAAAAAAAAACTATTGTTGGTACAACTAGTTACTTAGCAGTCAAAAGCTTTTCAAAATACTAATAATTTATGACCATTTATGATGCAAAAGTGAAGTGGAGGAATGCATCAGACATGTTGTGTGTTAGAAAAGTACTCAAACTTAAGAGAAAATTCTATAAGATGGTGATGAGACCTATAATGTTTTATGATGCAAAATTTTGGCAATAAAAAAAAACATAAAATTAAGTTTAGTGTTATAGAGATAAGGATGCTCAGGTGGATTAGTGAATTCACTCTTATAGACAAAATGCAAAATGAGTATATACATGAAAAAGTTAGAGTAGCTCCAGTGCCAGTGGCAAATAACATTAGAGAGAGTCTCCTTAGATGGTTTGGTCACATAAAATATTTGTCTTATGATAACCCGGTTAGGAGAGTATATGTAATAGATTTGGCCTATGTTATGAAAGGTAGAGGTAGAACTAAAAAGACTTGGTTAGAAAATATTAAAAATGACATTTTTTTTATTAGATTTAAATGAGAATTTGACCCTCAATAGTCCACAATAGAGAAAAATGATTCATATAGCCGACCCTATATAGTGGGATAAAGACTTGATGTTGTTATTGTATGATGCAAAATTGAAACCGAAATCCTATATTCTATCCGAAACACACATTTGTGTATGTTAAGATGATCCATATGTTTAGTATGAGATTTGGGTTGTTTTTGTTATTTTCATATTTTTGATTTTAGCATTACCATAGTGTTGATCATTTAGTGAGAGCGGGTTGTGTTCTCTGATGTTTGTGAGATATGCTTGTGTTTTCTGGTTCATCAGTAGATTCATTATTAGTTCCTAATTTCTATGTTTTGACTGACTCGCTATAGCTCCCTTCAATTAAGTAACGGAGCTAGAATCAGAGTTTTCATGTAGTAATGTCATTGTTTCCATGTGCACTTGTCACTTCTCTTGTTTTCGCATACGTTAGTAGTAGTTATTTGCTCACTGGATCATTGTTTTGGGAAGGAGGTGGTTGTGTTTTACTTATTCCTTTGAAGGTTGTTCAACAATTGTTTGCTTTTGTGGCAATACTCAATTTCGTTCTATATGTAATTTTCATGATAGAGGGATCTACAATCAGTTAACAAAATCTAGACTTGTGCCTACTGCTTGAAGTAAGGATTGAGACTTTCTATTTTTGCTAGAATCGAAGATTGTCAAATCAAAGCTTGCTTTTTCCCTTGATTAGTTTTGAATTTAAATAAGAGGTCTCTAAGCATGTAAAAACATTCAATTGTTCAATATCTAGATTTTTCATCAAAATTTTGCGTTCTAGTTGAATATGAATTCTTCACCTGAGATGCAAGTTTCGAGAAAATTTTAGGTGAAAAACTCTCCTTTTACCGACACAAGGCATGGATCTTCTTTGGTGACTTTATCTTTTTTTTTTTTCATCTATATACTCTGTGAATGCTTTTTGTGTATATGAATAATATTTGGTAATTTTGATAAAAATTTGGTTCTTTCTTGTGACGTGAATCCTAATTGTTATGTAGCTTTATTTTCACCAAAAACTTCTTGTTAAATTTCTAATTTTGACTATCCTCAGCCTCAGGCTTGCCAAATAAGGCTTACAACTAAATAGAAGGCGAGGCACACCTCAGTGAAATTTTAAAGATACGTTATGACTAAAAAATTAATATTTCTGTAATTTAAAAAATTTAATTTATAAAAATTATATTTAAATTTAACATATTTACTATATCTAAACCAAAACAAATTTGAGAAAAACTGGATAACATCAATCTAGTTAACGTGGGACCCACACGCCTACACCTGATCCTACTGCACATACGCACTACTACATTGCCTCCGTTATTGCATCGCTATTGCTTTTCCAATGGATCTTCTAAGTTTTTTTTTTAAATTATTTTTTATTTTTTATTTTTTAGACCTTCTAAGTTATGAGGGGAGGGTATTAGTTTTGAATTCATAAATTATCACATTATATTACTTATTTATATTGAACTAAGAGTGATAGAGACTATTTATTTAGCATTGTTTATAGCCTTGTATGACTTTTACTGACCTTACCATGATTTTTTATAATCTTATTTTAACATCTTACTTTGATATTAATTTCTTACTTGCCATTTCATATTTTTTTATTAATTTAATGGTTTAAATATGAGGCTTGTGCCTCATCTTAGAAAAAGAAAACGTTTCAATATGCCAAAAGGTAATAAGGAGATTTTAGGGTCATATGGTGTGGTAAAGTGGACAAGAGCTATGGTATAGGAGGAATTATTGAGGTGATGGTGGTGAGAGGACCTGGATGTAGGGAGTCACTATCTTGCTTGTGGAGATATGTAGAGGTATGGTGGAAGCCTTTGGGGTGATTGAATGTTTGCTAAAAATAAGTTTCATGCAATTATATGGAGGGGGGAAGAGATATTGCATGGGAGGAATTATTTTGAGGCAAGGCCTCAAGTATGGCTATATGAACTTGGCAAAGAGGTATGGTGTGGTGAAATGGTCAAGAGCTATGGTATGGTAGGAATTATCATTGAGGCAATGGTAGAGAGAAGACCATGGATATAGGAAAGTCACTATCTTGCTCGCGAAGATATGTAGAGGTATGGTGGATGCCTTTGGAGCGATTGAAGGTTTGCTAAGAATAAGTTTCATGTACTTATATGGAGCAGTCAAGAGCTGTGGTATGGGAGTAATTACTTTGAGCAGATGTCTAAGGTATGGCTACCTTGAGGTTGATTAGGGTCTATTCGAGAAGACAAATATGAGAGGTAGTAGAGGGATAGATTAGGTTGTTCACTATGGAGGTCTTTAGAAATTGCCATGGAGTTATGGAGAGGGAGAAGGAAGCATTCAAGGTTTTATGTGAGTTCGAGAGTTAGGAGGGAGGAGAATTAAACTCCGGGATTCTTGGGTTGCAAGTATGTAAGATCTATGCAATTTTTAGAATATCTTGTAAACTCAATACATTGAATTTTGATTTTTCAGATTTTTTTTATTGATTGTAAAATGCATTTAGGGAAACAATTTTATATTTTTGATTAGAAGTAAAATGTCAGGGTAGAAGGAGAGGAGACAACGGAGGAAAGCCTGAAGTCGGGGTCGAAGGAGGAGGTGGCATGAGATTTGGAATCAAAGTTGGACGTGGAGCTAGATACGATGACAACAAATTTGGCACGGGACTGTGACAACACATATTGAGTTTGGGATGGTGATGACTATGATGACGACAATGAGCTAAGAATGCCAACACAAAAGAGTGACAGGGATTGTTTCTAGGAGAGCATAGGACTTTATTTTTGGTTGACTGGAATGATTTTCAAACGCAAGAAAATAGAGGATTTAACGTATTTCCAATGCCTCTAAAGTTTACTTTGTATTTCTTTTACTTTAAGTCAAACACCAACAAGTTAAAATACATGCAAACAAAATATAATACAACCCTAATACTTTGAACTAACAACCCCTAAATAAATACACCTACGGAACTCAACAAAGTTCCCTAAAGGATTTAGCCACCAAACCTTCACGAAGACTTGCAACTGAGAAAATGATTTCAATATTCTCATTCAAAAGAGGCTAAGCGGTAAATATATAAAACAAACAAATAAATAAATATAATGAATTATTCAATGATGTGGCCAACTATGCCAAAAAAAGGGAGTGTTTTTTTAGTTAATTGTGGTATTCTTGTTTTGCTTCTTGATTTGATCGAGCATGCATATAGAGAAGGAGAGTGTTATTGTCTTCAATCAAATATTGCTTGCTTAAATTATGGAGGCGGAGGCATGCTCTTTTAGAAGGGAGTGGTACTGATTTGTGGCACATATTAGAATCCAATAATAAATGAGATTTGTGAATGTTGATGATGATTATGACATTCAATCTTCATGTGATGCCCATGTTAACGATTTGGTCACTACTCACTAGTTTGAATAGATAAGTTGATGTTGCTTTAAGTTTAACAAACTATAAAGAACTAATTTGAGCAAATTAAAATTAGCATAGTCATCCAAAAAGTGAGGTGTGACTTTTCTAGATCTTTCCTTGGTCATCCATGTATGTTCAAAGGGAGGTAGGTTCTTCCACCAGTTAGGAACCTTTGTGAAGTGTTTGTAAGTGTTGAAACTTCATATGATATAATGTCTTTAACTTTCAAGAAATTTGGAGGAAGTCACACCTAAAAATGTTGATCTTTATCACCTACTATTAGTTATTTTGCAAGTCCCGAGGTTTTATAATTCATCGAAATGATAAAATATTTCTACATTGAAAACATGATTTCAAAGAACTTAAGAAAATAAGCATTTAATCAAAGATTTCAAAGCATTTTAAATAAGCCACAAGCCCTTATAGGAAGATTTTTGAATTTAGTGATTTTGAAGCGTTATGATATGTAGTTTTAAACATAGTTACCTTCATTAGATTCCCTTAATGAACTAAATTGCTTAATTCAATTAGTTCTTTCACATGTGCATGAAGAGCATGAAAATTATGTGCAAATGTAAATGCAGCATAAAAAAATGAGATAGAATGCAAGCAAGATCGATATGCCTTTGAGGATTATCACCATAAACAAATATCAAAAGGTAGTTTCTTCATTGTTTTTGAGACAATATTACAAGCAAATACAGATGTCAATAAATGTAAATCTCAAGTCCTAAAATTTTTACAATGAAGTATCTCAAACGATGGCCTAAAGCTCTATTAATAACTTCAATTGTTAGATGAAAGTAGGATAAAACATTTAATTGAATTCCAAGTAATTTTCACAATGTGTTTTTTAAAAACAAGAGGCAAATATATCATTTCTATTAGATATAATAATGAATGATAAATCATGCAGTATAACAATTTCTTTTAAAAAGAGCTTAGCAATATTTGAATTATCATTAGTTTTAAAACTTATCAACAACAACAAAATTACGATCATGTTTCCAAGGAGTCATAAACAAGTTTAAAATAAATCCATAGTCTATAAGGGGTAAGTATATTGCTAGACTTATCAAATCTTTGTTTAATCTTTTTTGCAATTTTTTCAAGTAAAAGTGTAAAACAATGTAAAATAACTTTCAGCATCCCTTTTTAGTAAATGTGGGTACAATTCATTTTCCATTAAATTAATTGTTCTTCCCAGAATGACTAGCTTATTTATCAAATGCATAGTCGACCAACCCATCAAGGACTAACATTTCCTTTGCACCGCTATACATAGGCCCCAACAATGTTTAAACTTGCGTATTCGGGTATTGAGGCGTTTTTCATTCATGAGGCGAGGCGTAAGCCTCAAGGCGTTTTGAGGCGTAAGCCTCAAAATCAAAAGATTGCGTAAACATAAAATGATAATTTTTTTATAAACTAATGAGTGAATAATATAAAATATAAAAAATCATAAGATATGAAGTGAAATTAAAATATCCCAATAATAAGACAACATGAAATATAGTTCAAATCAAAATTCTATCTTTCCAAAATCCAGTATTCTTTTCATTAACATATAATTCAAATTTCCAAAAATAAATAACAATGACATATCACATAAGAACTCATAAGTCATCAGCACTATCATCACAAAGGGGTTCTTCATTTGAATCATCATTATGATGAACTGCTCTCTCCCTTCCTCCTCTCCTATAGAGTCCAATGTCGGGCATTTACTTCAAGATTTATGTAAGTTTTAATATATATAGCGTGAGGCGTAAGCCTCATGCCAGTGAGGCGAGGCGGGTCTCAAGGCGGGCCTCAACTAAGTTGAGGCGCAAGCCTCATAAAAAAAACTCAAGGCGTAAGCATCGAGGCGTTTTTTACTGGAATTGCGCAAAAGAGGGCCTCAAGGCGAGCCTCATATTGCGCAATTTTAAACCATGGGCCCCAATGCATCTTGTATTTTTTTTCCGTAAACTCTTATTGAAAGAGGGGTATTGCCACCCAATGTCTTGTATGGTTACATCTTTGAATAAATAAAGTTTAGTTGCGGTCTTCCACTTTGAAAGTGATTTTCTTTTCGTGTTTCAAATAAAGTTTAGTTGCGGTCTTCCACTTTGAAAGTGATTTTCTTTTCGTGTTTCCCACCAAAGAGAAAAATTTCTTACATAAGAGTATGCAAGCTCTTGGAGAAGGACGTTTCAGGAAGGAAGGAGGCAAACACAATGAAGATTTGTTCAAGGATATTTACTTTAGTTATCTCCACTTTACCACTATAAGAAGTAGATTCTACCATGGTTAGCCTACTCTTAGCTAATCATTATCTATCTTATTATTACACGGCCAGAAGTCTTAGTTTAACAATATAATCTTTTACATTATCATGGTTCATCCCAACTTGTATCAAAAGTTGCTCTTTGAATCCACCAATAGAGTATTTATAATAACTCGAGTATGTTTCCCAAGGAACTTTAGTGGAATCTTTGGATCGCTTTTCAATTTGCATTAGTTAGGATATCATCCATCTTAAAACATATTTACATGGCCTTGAGGGTAGAACTTTTTTCATCCTACACCATATATACAAGTCGACAACATTGGTTCAATGCATGAAGTGGTTGATTATGAAAAAAAAAAAAAAACTTACTAAGGTTTGCCCTCTTGACAAAATAAAAGAAAAGAAAAGAAAAGAAAATGTTGTACAGTTTGGTTGCAAAACAATATATTTTCATTTTTCATTTTCTTTGTAAATAATAGGGACAGTTGAAAATGGCTATTACAATTATAATTTAATTACCTCATTCATCATGATCTTCTTCCCCTTTTTTCCTGAGTCCCCTTTAAAACTGCACCAAACTCCCTTGTAGCATGAGCTCGGCAAGTGTGCAAGGAATCATATACAGGCTCACCGACCACTGAGAAGATCATGTTAATCGAATCCCATTGTGAGAAAAGTACTGGGATTTTGATCCCAACATCCTGCTGGGATCTTGCATGATAGCATGATCGCTAAGACCCTTCCCAGTGGCTGGCAAACTTGCAAGGGATCCCAAGCTAGCTCACCTAAGCGACCACTAGCACCTAGGAAGAACGGTGTGTTGACAAACGAGACAAGAAGGAAGAAGATAACTGATGAGATTTGTAAATTTTAATGAGTAAGCATTTAAATTATATTTAACACTTTATCGTTTCCATCAAGGAAGCACACTGAAGACAAGTCTTAACAAATTATCCAATTTGAAATAACCAAAAGAATTTGCTGGCAATTGTGAGCGTTGCCTAAAATTTTAGTGTGATCCTCGTTTTTTTTCAGGCATACTCAGGCTAGATGACAATTTTTTACTTACCGTTGGATAGGGCCACTTAGAGTGAGACCGCCACCATGCTTTCAAAAGGGAGGCGGTGTCTCCAGTTACTCTCACTGCTGTTCTCTTAAGAAGAAACCGTTCTCTTATGCCCATGATCTTCTCTTTGTAACCCTACAAAAGAAATACATCCACTGAGCACTCGATGGCTAATTGATGCTTAAAACCCCAGGAATTGCCAAACTTAATAACCAAAAATACCTTCTTCAGATTATGTTCCAGCTCCTTTCTGGCACGGTCCATCAGTGAACTCTCACTACCAGTTGGAACAACGTGACCAAATCCCAAGCAATCTGGAATTTTCAGAATCCCATTAGGCGGTCTTCCGTTTTCACAGATAGATGCGGTAGCATCAGGAACTTCGCCGGCAGAATCAGCGCCATTTCCGCTCTTCTTTGCAGGGGGAACCTGCCGTTCCGAGAGCTTCCTGTGCGGGAAGTTCGTCACAGCATTTTCGCCCTTAAGCCTCACAGCAGCGACGTCGTAAGCTGTAGCAGCCTCCTCTGCCGAGTTAAAAGTGCCAAGCCAAACCCTTTTCCTCTGGTTAGGATCCCTAATTTCGGCCGCCCATTTCCCCCAAGGACGACGGCGAACCCCTCGGAACCTCTTCATGGAACCATCTTCCGGCGACACCCACGTCGCCGTCGCTGGCCCTTTTGCTGGAACCCGGCGATTGACCGGAACCGATTTAAATTCTATCTCGTGCACGTGCCTCCTTGCCCGCCGCCTGATATGGCCGACACCCTCGCGATCGCTGGAAGACGAATCCGTCGCGTCCGCGTCAGTGAATAAGATACGCAGGCTTCTCGGTTTTTCCACCGGCCATATATCACTCGTCTTCTCGGTTTTCCGGCAAGCAACATCTTCAGCGTCTTCTTCATGACTTGTGGGGCGAGGTTCGCCGGTACGTTCCGGCGAATTTGATTCATCACCATTAGGGCGAGAACTCATCCAACCCACCCACCAAACTGTGAGCTTCTAGTTTACAAACCAATTCCAGGTTCACTGAGCATCCCCCAGTCATGACAGAGATCAGAAATTCCCCGCTGAGTTCGAACTATGTTTGAGCTGAAGAAGCGATCTCATCGGTATGATCGAGAGCTAGGGTTTTAAGCAAGGTCTTGGCGGAACGATGAAAGTGAGCACTGAGCAAGGGAAAAAGCCAGAGATAAAAAGAGACGAGCGTATACGGCAAGTGGGCGCCTGCGTTGTGATAGCAAGAACAGCAATGGTGCCACGTAGTATAAAAAGCTTAATAAAACTCTTCTAAAAATACATAGGTTAAATTTCAAAATAATTATATAATTTTTTTAGTCTCCAAGTATAATTATTTTAAAATTTAGGCTTTATTTAGGACAATTTTTTTTAGTAGAAAATATTCTAATTCAAATTTTATTTTACTAAAAAATGAGTTTTAGAAAGCATCAAAAAATTTGTCCCAAAAGAAACCTTAGTCCTTAATCATTCAAAATAGATTCAAAATTATCTATTTAAAACTAAATTATGATCTATTTTGTAAAGTAAAGGGACTAAAATTTCGTTTAGGATAAATTTTTTTACTGCTTTTTACTTAAAAATTTCTAATTAAAAAAAATTTACTTAAAAAACTACTTTAAAAAATAATAAGAAAACTATCCCAAATGAAATCTAAATTAGGATCAATTTAACATCTCAATTTACAACATTATGAATTATTTTAGATCAATTTGTATAGTTGAGAGGCTAAATTTTAGTAATGTCATACTCTAAGACTAAATTAATTATACATAAATAATCTAGGAAATATTTAAAAATTTATAAAAATAAATTAATTAAGCTCATTTTATTTTGATTACTCTATAATTTTATCTGAAGCACAAATAGATTGATTTTTTTTTTCATTTAGAGGGCCATCAAAATACAATAATATAAATATAATTTTTAAGACAATTTATTAAGAAAATATATACATGCTTAAAATAAGTTAAAAATTAATGGAGTGAATCACATATGCAAAAGTATATATTTTCTCATTGTTTTTTTCCTCATAGCCAAGTGCATATCATAAATGAAAAGATATGGATCGAAAAGGAAATTACCTTTGCTATGGCAAGAGGTGGAGCATATAAGCTATGAATGTTGATGCAAATTCAGCTTGTGCTAGCGCTTTATCTCAAACCATAGATAGATTATTACGTGCGGTCGTCAGACCGTTCAGAGGCCAACAGGACGCGCCACATCACCTGATACACAATAATGATACATAGCGTATTAATGATGTAGCGCGTCCTGATTTCCCTCCAGACGGCATCCGATGACCGCACGTAATAATTTTACCAAACCATAAGCTTCTTCCATCTATGCATCCAATCATAAAGATCAAGGTGCAAATGATGACTTTGATTTGTCCATCGAGTCCTACTGAGTATGGGGAAGTCCCAAAATAAAATTTATGTTGAGGTCTTCCCAAATGTTGCCTGTTATGTGTAGAGGATTATAGAGACTGATAGTTTGGGCCTATCCTGTAGCAAACTGACAGCTGCCACACCTATGTAAAAATTTATAATATCCCTATGGTGACTATAAGTTTTTCACATCTCATGTAAGCAGCAAAGTTGTCTACTTGTAAATTATAAATTATAAACTCTAGTAGTAAGGGTGTCTCCAGCCGAAAAACTCATTTTTCACTCCAAAATGCAACAACACTCTAAAATGCAGTAATTCATCTACAATTGAATTCCATTTCTTTCTTCTCTTTCGCGTGCTTCTTCATCTTGCTGCAAAAGTAACCATCTTTCTCCTCTTTTGTACGCTTCTTCGGCAAATCCCGTAACATAAAAATTGTCGTAGGTGAACAGTGCGACCAACAGTGCGATGCTAATATTGATTGGCGTCGCACTGTTCACCCACCAAATTTTGACGTGTGATTTAGTATTTGAATGGAGCTAATGACGGATGGCATACTACCGTATGCAGTTCGGTTGAAGATGATCTAATGCTTTTGGCATACATAACTAGCGTCTTACTCATCACCCTAACTAGATATCCTTTTCTCGGGGTGATTAGTTAACAACACAACGAAAGTGCTAAAATTTTGTTGAAAGTAATGATAAAATATAGAATGGCTATGGAGGTGTCTAGCAATAAATGTTTATGGATATCGACCAATCTTGAATACATTGAATTTTTGCATTGTCTTAGCCATAAATTCACAAGTCTTCACATCTATGAACAAATTCTCTATTTTAAGAGTGATGAGGATTTGCTTTTAGTGCTTTAAGTGGTCTTTCCAAGTCTTGCTAAATATCAAAATATCATTAAAATATACCATGGAAAATTGGTTTATAAAAGGCATGAACACTTAGTTCAATAAACATATAGAAGTAGTTGGAGTATTATAGAGTATGAAAGGCATGACTTGTCATTCATAGACATTCTCTTCACTTTTGGAAGCCATTTTCATGTAATAACCACAAATTTAATTTCCCTAAAATTTTGAAAATTGTTTGAGGGAGCACTATGGTGCTGAGCCTACTGGGTGTTGCGGCACTAGGCTCTCGGGTTTTTGAAAAATTAAGAGAGTGGGAGGAGAGATGGAGAGAAAGTTGTTGCAGGTCATTTTCGTTTGTCACTCTAATCATGAAAAGTTGTATGACTGTGGTAAGTAATTCTAATCTTATCTCTGTTTTTAATGATTTTATATTTTTCATATTTTCTCCCTCATCAAACTGATAAAAAAATATAATATCTTTAATTATAGTAAATTTTCATTGTAACTTTTGATGTGTAGATATTGTCCCCTTGAATATTTTAACTAGTTTATATTAAATTTTCACATGATATTTTGATTATATGTCATTTTAATTGGAATGGGTAGAGTAATATTGAGTATAAAATGATCAGAAGTTAGTATACTACACTTGGATATGAAATATATGATGCATTAATTTAATATGCATATGCATATAGTCCAACATGTATTTTGACATAATACATACATGCATATTGAAGAGCACACTGAATATATTTACATGTTATAATCATTTCATATGATGTATAGTTGATGTCTGTCATTATGATGTGAAATGTATATTGAAATAAGAAAATCTGGGTGAATATGATTGGCTAATTCAGATTGACTGGAAAAATGTTACTTTGTACAGGATGGTGGGTCAATGATTTTTTTTTTAAATAAAGTTTATATAATAATCCCAAGTGATATGTAAAAGAGAGGTATATGAAGATTGACTGATATGATATGATCGATACACTAATGACCAGGAAGTGACAACTTCATACATAAAAGTCACTGACTAGTGATATATGATATGATAATAAGCCTAACGTGATTAAAATTGATTCTTGTAGGATTAGCCTATAGGATTGCATACAGAAAAAAAACTGACAGGTAGTCATATGTCATGTCTTGCTTACATATATATATATATATATATATATGACATAAGCATATATGATAAATTGCATAAGTGATATAATATAACAAAATAAAAGATATGATTGATACAGATATATGAAAAAATTAGTATGACTGAAAAGATTGATGCAAGAGCCTATAATACATATGAAATATATAATATACATGCATTGATGTTTGATTTTGTACGACATACATAGAACATATGTACATTGGTTTGATATGATTGCTAGAAACGATAGAATGTACTGATCATTTATATTGTTACTGATCATTGATCGCTGAATTTGAATTATATTGCTTTAAATGATTTTTATTGCTCAAATGAAATGATATTACTCATATTGATCACTATATAATCTTATAGTTATATTATTATACTGATCTAAATTGAATGGTTATATGCATATTGATTCTATTATCTTACATTGATTACAAGTATATGTTATGATAACCTATTGATCTATTAACCCACTTTGTGATTTTTATAGATTTTTTCAAGAAGGGGGAATGACCCAATGGAGTGAGATAGATTAGGTCTAACAGATTTAGTTTTGATCTTTGTATTATGATTTTATTCTTTTGTAACAAAAAATGATAAGTGATAGACTTATATTGTAGATTGTGTTCCTGATTATTATATACGAATTTTGAGGAATAAATATAAAATATTTTAATATATATCATTTATAGTTACTTCTGCTGGTTGTGGGAATGGTTGGTAATGGTCTGGTGACTAATAGCTTAATTAATTCATTATGATTCATATACATGTTAAATTTTGTTCTATAGTATGTATTATAGATGCTCCATGTTGACCTAATTTATGTACTAACAGAAGCAAGACAATCCTTTTTTTCAAGCCCAGCGAAAGAAATTGTTGTTTTTATTGCTGAGTTACATTGGCATCATATTGTTACATCCAACCAAGGGGAATGTGGCAAGCATCCATATTGATAATGTCAGTGTATTTTATCCTAGTAGAATTTCCTAATAGACAATGGCACTCTAAACAATTCATTGGCTTATATTTAATTTCCTTTCTTAATTTACATGACCTTGTAGGGTTGTGAATGATCTTCCTTTAACAAGTTTATGAAGATGATGAGGGCTTTAAATACTATATTTTTACAATCATTATTATTAATTATGTCATGACAAACTCTCTTGTGAATGGTGCACAGCAAGTTTGGAAGATGGAATGGTGTTCGGTTGAATCATGGAACTTGGTGAGTCTGAATACTTCCAACAGTGCAAATTACTAGCTATTTATCATCCCTTTCAACAAGTATAATATCCACCACACATTCATGAGAGGGTTGTTTTTTTTTTTTCTACTTCTGAAGCTCCTTCATTGATGAAGTGTAATATTTTTTGTTGGGGAATCTCATTAGATTTATGCCTCGTTTGACTACAATGATATCAATAAGTATGAACATAATGGGTATAAGAATTATTCATTTTAACAAGAGTCGGACCTTTCTCTACGGACATAGGAGGGAAAGCGGTATGCGATGTAGCTAAATTCATTAGACTAGCTTGGTCTGAAGGGAGTTGTAATTTTTCTCTTGATGATTCTTGCAGTGATCTACAACTAGAAAGGAATTGGTTGGGATTCTGGGAGGCACTACTTTCATAGAGTCACCATATTAATCATACAACAAATCCTAATATGCTACGATAGAGAGACAAAAGGTTTCGTTCCGACTACCATATAATGATTGTATATTCATTGACCGAGCATTTCTCTTTATTGACTATGTTGGTTAAAAAGGACAAGAAGGGAAATGAGAACAAGAAGG